GATAATGTTCTGGGGAAATGGGTTCAAATCATGCCAAGGTGAAATTTGAATTCAATGATAATGCTAACCATGGAACCACTGTTGACTGTTATACAGTCAAACAGCACGGAAACAGACCCTTCGGTCTGTTGACATGATATGCCAATCTGACCCAATCCCAATGGCAAATATTCCTCAAAACCCTTCCCATTCATGTACCCATCCAGATACCTTTTAAATATTGTCATTGTACCCGCCTCCACCACTTCCTCTGGCAGCTCTTTCTATATGTGCATCACCCTTTGTATAAAAAAAGTTATCTCTCAGGTCCTTTATAAATCATTTCCCCCATCACCTTAAACCTATACGCTCTAGTTTTGGACTCGTTCTCCCCCCAGCCCCAACACCCTGGGAAAAAGACCTTGGCTATTCACCCTCTCCATGCCCCCCGTGACTTTATAAACCTCCTTAAGGTCTCTCTTCAGTTTTTGACGCTCCAGGGAAAAATGCCCCAGCCTATTCAGCTTCTCCCTACAACTCAAGCCCTCCAGTCCCGGCAACATCCTTGTAAATCTTTCCTGCACTATCTCAAGTTTAACAATATACTTCTTATAACTGTTAAAAACCTACCTGGTTCACTGATGTGAAATCTGCCATCCTTATCTGGTCTGGCTTACATGTGACTCCAGACCCACAGCAATGTAGTTGACTCTTAAATGCCCACTGGGCGATTAAGGTTAGATAATAAATGCTGGCCCAGTCAGCAATGCCCATATCCCATGAAGAAACTTTAAAAGATGGGTAGAGAGTGGATGAGAAATTTAAAATCAAGGTGTTTCAGAACTGGGCGCCAAAGTCAGATAGCCGCATTCTAATTACCAAGACTCAGCTGAAAACAAAATGCGATCATGACTATCTCACTTTGCTCCTCAAACCCCAGAGTGGATAATTCTTTGCATTTCTGGTGTGACACGATACTCTACAAAACTCTGACACAAATCTAAAATCATCAAGCAAGCAAGCAATTTGACATAGTCCACTTGTGAAAGCAAGTGCAGCTTCCTAAAATACTCAACATGACCAAGATGTACCCACACCCTTTCATCCTTCCTGTGTTCATATATCATATGAAACATATCAACCCATTAAACCTGTTCGAAAGACGATCTGTGCCTTCTGCAAGTTGCATGCTCCGTCTGTGCCTATTAAATCACTGGAAATTGAACTCCAAATTGATGTATCACTTGAATACTTAACAAAAAAATCCTAGCCCACCAGCCCTCAAAACAAACGGTCAAACACTCCTTCCTCAACTCTTCAGCTGGTGTTTGGGATGCCAAGGTGGTGTAACATTTCTCAGGTACCAATTTTGGATATTTAGTACGTTCTACTGAGTTCACACGATAGGATATGACTCCCACAAGAGTTCAAGCTTCCAACCCCATACTAAGAGACTCAGTAAGGTAACAGCTGAACAACACAAGCTTCGAGTATTGGTGAAATTCTCTCTAAGCAGCATGGCTGACCATCCTGATATTTGGATTTGGCAACTCAGAACTCTTGGATACTATAAAGCATACATTATACGTAACAAAATATGTATAAATTCGTCAAGACTTCTAACGTAACTGATGATGTTATACATTGGGGTAAAGAGAAGGAAATTAATGAAAGACTTGGAATGGTTCACAACCACCAGTCATCTCAAAGTGTTTTGTTGCAAGCTAAGTGCTTTTGAAGTGTTGTAATCTAGGAATCACAGCAGTTAATTTCCGCACAGCAAGCTCCCACAGATAGCAACATACTACATAATTAGTTTTCACAATATTTTTACATTAATCCAGGATTTAATACTGGCCAGAATATCAGATGGTGTGGGCCTTGGTTAAAGATCCCATGGAAAGCATAGCGCCATAGACAGTGCTGCACTTCTCCAGTACTGCACAGGAGCGCCAGTGTTGAATTGTGTGGTCAAGCTCTGGGTTGGGATCTTCTGGCACTTACGCAAGTCCGTTACCAATGGAGCCATGGTTGTCATTTCATCATATTGAATATTGGCCATGCATAATTAATAGAAGTAAGACCTGGACGCACTGAGCTATCCATCTAGGATACATTCAGCTACAGAAACAATGCATTCAATAACAGTGATAACCCAAGGCATTTTAATGAATCAGTGTAGATGGTCTGAGTTCTCTCTACGGCACAGAAAATTAGAACAAGATTTAATAGATATGTTCAAAATAAAATTGATCGAGCAAATAAGGAGAACCATTTTTACCATAGTATGGGATTTGTTAACCAGAGGACACAGATCAAAGGTAATTGGTGAAAGTACCTGAGACCAAAAATTATATATTTTAAATGAAGTGAATTGTTGTAAAGTGGAACATGCTGCCTGAAAGGGCAGTGAAAGCCAGTTGAATAAGAACTTCCAACAGAAGATTGTATAAAAAGACTTGAAAGGGAAAAGAATGTGAGGCCATGGAGAAATAAGGAAATGGCACTAACCTTTTAAAAATCATCAAATGAGTTCTGAGTGTTGCTAGGCAAGTATTTGTTGCCCATCCCTAATTTCTCCTGAGAAAGTGGTCGTGAGCCACCTTTCTGAACTACTGCAGCCCATTTGGCATAGGTACACCCACAGTGATGTTAGAGAGGGATTTCTGGGATTTTGACTTAGAGACCAAGAAGGAATGGCGATATAGTTCCAAGTCAATTGGGATAGAACTTTTTCAAAGGACTGGACAGGCAGTGGAACAGATGACTTGTACCATACCATGATGTGATCTGGCAACTCAAATTTGTCAAAGTACGGAGTGGCCTTGGAAGAGTAACAGTTACATGGTAGTTGCCAAGGAGCAGTTATAAAGTAGAAAAAGCACAGCTTAGATAGTGAATTGACCAAAAATTTAAACCAGCTAGTCTCCCTCCTGAGGAAAACATTTTAAATAGGTGTGTCGATTCTGAAGTTTGAATGCAGTGTGCAGTTTGAAAATGATTTGAGATGAATGGCAGCTTTATGATTATACCTAAAGTAGTTAGCACAAAGTCTGGAACAACTTTGAAATTATGGCAAAGGTTCTTCCACATGAATGCTGTAACTTGAAGGTTTCCTGCTTTATTTACAATCTTGATCTAAAGTTGGAAGCGCTGAGGACAAAGGCAAGAGCAAAACAAGTATCCACTGGCATACCTGAACTGAGGTGCTTTTAAAATTAATTGTGATAGAAGTTGGTGGGGCCCATCAGTTTAAAGCTTCACATAGTATTGAATATGCAGCACTGGAGGCTATTCAGCCCATCAATTTTCAATAGCTTAACATTGATTTGAAAGTTACATTTGTGTTGCATACTAGCCCCTTCTTCCCTCTCTAGGAAATAATTTCTCTCCAAACTCCCTGTCAAATCCTTTAATTGTTCACATAGTTTACCTGGAGTCTTTTGTGCTCAAAGGAATTGGTCAAACCATATTTGGAGTTTTGTGTTCAGTTCTGGGCATCTTATTTAAGGAAAAATAGGGCAGCATGGTGGCTCAGTGTTTAGCACTGCTGCCTCACAGCACCAGGGACCTGGGTTCAATTCCAGCCCCAGGTGACTGTGTGTGGAGATTCCACATTCTTCGCCTGTCTGCATGGGTTTCTTCCAGGTGTTCTGGTTGTCTCCCACAGTCCAAAGATGTGCAGTTAGATGGATTAGCCATGGAAAATGCAAGGTTACAAGGATACAGTGTGTGGGTGGGATGCTTTTCAGAGGGTTAGTGTGGACTCGATGGGTTGAATGGTCTGCTTTCAGACTGTTGGGATTCTATGATCCAATGAAAGATGTTATAGCTCTGAAGAAAGTGAAAAGGAGATTTATAAGAGTGATACAAGGAATGAGGGAATTTTAGATACAAGGAAAGATTAGGGAAATTGGGCTTATTCTCTTTAGAACAGAGAAGATTAAGAGGTGAACATATTGAGGTGTTCAAAATTATGAACAATTTTGACAGGGTAAGGAAAGATATGCTGTTTCCACAAGTTGGTACGATAGTAACTAGGGGTCACAATTTCAAGTTGTCATCAAGAGAGCTGGGAGCGAGAGGAGGAGAAACTTCTTTACTCAGAGAATTGTTAGGATTTGGAATGTGCTGTCTGGGAGAGTGGTGGAGGAGGATTCCATAGGAGGTTTCAAAACAGAGCTGGATATATATTCGACAGTGATGAATATAGAGGGCTACGGAGAGAGGACTGGAGAGTGGGATTAGCTGGGTAGCTCTTTCAGGTGCTGGTACACATATAATGGGTCGAATAGCCTCCTGTACTGTAAACTTCTGACACTATGAATTCAAAATTCATCCAAACCATCAAACCCTTTATAAAAACTCTGTAACATTCCAGGAATATTGCAGTTTCTGTGCATTCCCTGATCCAGCATCTAGAATATGTATTCGGGTACGTCTAGAGGTGCCCAGAAAGCAGTATGCACATTAATAAGCAACCCAGTGCGAGGCTGCAAGAAAGTCCATTAATTTATAAATTCCTACAAAACAAACCCTAATTATAAACAACTGAGACTTTCTTAAACAAAGTAAATACCGAAAAAGAAAAGTGGCCATCTAGCTCCTTTGTCTTTCAAACACAGAGACCTAGGGAAGAAGACAGAGTTTTGGACATCTCTCTCTCTCTGAATTTATTCATAATTATTTTGAATGCTGTTGTTTGAGACCACATTGCATTATCCTGAACTGCACTACCCTAAACAGACTGCTGTTCCAACAGAGTTCCCAGAGATGGGATGTATTCGAGAATTTTATAAGTATGCTTTTAATCTGTGTTCATCACTTTCCTTAAAGCCAAATAGAATCTATTCATACTTAAGGCATCTTCATTTGTAATAAGTGGCATTTTTTTTTTCTCGCGCTGTAAATTAAGTTTCTCTGCGTCCAGCCCCACGAACAATCATTTCGGATAAGAATGAAGTACTGTTTTGTTTTTCAAAAATAAACTCTCTCTCCCTCTCCATCCCCTTTCTAATCAGCCCAGGTCCTGGATGCTTCAGTTCCTAACCCAGCGGGAGCTCACACTCACCTGATCCGGGCTGGGAATGCTGAAAGGCGGCACAGGATCCCAATCGAACCGCTGGGAGAGACGGAGGGCGATAGAAACTTCTTCCGGGCAGACTTATGGCAAAGGTAAGATAACAATAAAAAAAACTATATATATTTTAAAAATAACAGACCACGAGTGCTTTCTTCAATTAAAAAAACACAGACACACAATCCCAGAGATATCCTCCAGTTAGTAACCTCTGGGATTCCAATAAATGAATGGACATCAGATGCAAAATTTAAGGAAGAGTACAAAGTGATAAAACTCCCCGCTTTCTGCCTGAACCACTCAAATAAATCTGCAGGAGGGGTTGTTGTCCCAGAGTAGAAGGGTAGGAATGTTGGGCAGATTTTTAATACATTGTCTCAGCTAGGGGTAAGTAAGCCCCTCCTTCTGGAATGCTCTAAAGGGTCAGGGTTCAGGGGAGTTTGGATGAATGTCCCATTGAAAAACCCACTCGGTGAAAGTTAGACGTTGTCTAGGATTTCTTGCAGAGAATCAGCGATACAGAAAGCTGGCTACGGAGCTGAAAATTTATTGGCAGGAATTATTTAGGAACTGTAAAACTGATGCTGAAACAAAATAGATAGATTTTCTGTAACACATCATTGGTCAAGGGAATTCCTTAGAGAATTGTGGTTCTGTCAATGGGGTCCATTTATTGCCGATTTGGGAAAACTAACAACCATTTTTTTGTTGTGCACTTAAATATAAAAATCGACTTTTCAGAGCAGAATTAACCTTATAAGCTCCATTCCACACCTGTATATATTTTAGAACTTTGGAAGGAGTATGGATAATTGGATACTGTAAAAGCCAAAGACCCAGGGAACAATTCAGCCTTAGTTATGAAGACTTGTATTCCAGAACTCACCTTGCGCCTAGGCAAGCTGTTCCAGTACAGCTACCACACTGGCTATGGGTTTGGTCAGTTCAGTTAGCTGGACTTGTGGCACAGTGAGGTGGCTTCACTTCTAGTGCTGGCTGAGGTTACAATGAAGGACACTCCTTTTAACTTCTCCCCTCACCTGAGGTATGGTGACCCTCAGGTTAAACCACCACCATTCATCTCTCTAATAAGGGAGCAGCCCAATGGTGTGGTAAGACTATGACTTTACCTTTATGATGCCGGCATCTATCCGACAAAGGGTGGCATGGTGGCTCAGTGGTTAGCACTGCTGCTTCACAGCGCCAGACACCCGGGTTCGATTCCACCCTCGGGCAACTGTCTGTGTGGTGTTTGCGCATTCTCCCCGTGTCTGTGTGGGTTTCCTCCCAGTGCTCTGGTTTCTTCCCACAGTCCAAAGATGTGCAGGCTAGGTGGATTGGCCATGCTAAATTGCCCGTACTGTTCAGGGATGTGTCGATTGGGTGGGTTATAGGGGGATGGGTCAGGTGGGATGCTCTGAGGGTTGGTGTGGACTTGTTGGGCCGAAGGGCCTGTTTCCACACTATAGGGATTCTATGATGACTTACAGATATGTTCTGTTCACAAAAAAAGCAGGATGAAACTAACCTGGCCAATTACTGCTCTATCAGCCTACTCTTGATGATCAGTGATGGAAGGTCTTACTGAGATTGGGATGAAGTCGTATTTACGCAGGAAATAATCTGCTCACAAACAAAAACAGAAATTGCAGGGTTGTGGGTCAAAATGTCTGCTTACTTTCCACAGATGCTGCCAGACCTGATGAGTTTTTCCAGCAATTTCTGTTTTAGTTTAGATCTGCAGTTCCGTAATAATTTGCACTGTTTGGATTTTGCCAGGATTATTTGTCCTCAGACCAACTCACTGTCTTGACTAAAACATGTGCAAAAGAGCTGACATGAGTTGAGAGTGACTGCCATTAATATCAAGGTAGCAGTTAACTGAGTGTGGCTTCAGGGGGTGTTTGCAAAGTGAAAGTCAATAGAAATCAGGGGAAAAGCTTTCTGTTCATTGAACCCCAACTGGCACAAAGGAAGATGCTTGTGGTTGTTGGAGGTCAATCATCTCAATCTCAGGACATCACTGCAAGTGTTCCAAGATCCTGTGAATTAATTTTTAAAGAATTTATGGAATATTTTTCTGCTTTTAGAAAATTTATATCAAAAACATTTGAAGATTTATTATTCTTTGCCCAATCTTGGTGTTAACAATGTATAAGTTATTTCACAGTTGCTTGATATTTCTTTCGATATGAAGGAATCAAATTAACATTTCTGAAAAATGAAATAAGCTCAGAAACACACACACAGTGGGAAACTGTCCAGTGCTATGTGTGAGAGCAGTACAATGAATAAGATAGGAAGACTGTTATAGCTGTTTATGAATATGTTAGGATGTTCCCTCACTGTTTACAAAATTACAAGCAGATAGTGGGCACAGAACCAATGCCTTGTTCAGGGTCCTGGGAGAACAACTAGCTGCGAACACTAGTCCAGAACTCTCAACCCACTAACACCTCCCCCTCCCACTCATATAGACTTTCTGTCACTCACAGTAGACAGCTGTCTTCCCCATCCCCTCCATCTGCAACCACTACCTCCAACTTGGAGAATCACTCTTAGCTGGAATCCTCTCTCTGGGGATGGTGAATAGTTGGCATAAAAGAAAGATAGCTCAGTCTTTTAGATGATTTTCTCCTGTTGAGGTGAAAGTTTGTCTTTCAGATGCTAAGTGGCCTGTGTTCTTTTCCGTTTTTGATCTGCTTTAATTGGGAGTGCGTGCACAAGACACCAGAAGTTGACTGGTAGAGGACTGGTGTTAACATAGGAGACTGACAACTCAGATTCCAAATACCCTCCCACCATGGCCTGCAGTGATGTTCCATTCTATCATTGCTGGCTTGGCACCAGGAAATGATGATGAAAAGCTGCCACTTTGTTCTAAGAACCCATCCATTCATTAATGGGAAAGAGACAGGCTGCTTCATACTTAATTAGATTACATGGGATTCTAGGCCCTTGCTATATAGTTGACCCTTAATACTCTGAGGACAACGAGGGATGAGTTTTCTTAAATGCTGTTTTATTTGAAGTTATCCAAATTCCAAGAATGAATTGTTATTTTTTTATTTATTCATGAAATTTGGGCATTGTTGGCTGGGTTAGCACTTATTGTTCATCACAAGTTGTCCTTGAGAAGATGGTGGTGAACTTCCTTTTTGAACTGCTGTTGGTGTAGGTGGACTCAGAATGCCATCAGGGAGGGAGTTGCAGGATTTTGTCCCAGTGACTGCCGTGAAAGAACGGCGATATCTTTCCAAGTCAGGATGGTGAGTGGCTTGGAGGGGAACTTGTAAGGGGTGGTGTTTCTATGTATCAGCTGCCCTTGTCCTTTGGGATGGTAGTGGTTGTGAGTTTGGAAGGTGTTGTCTAAGGAGCTTTGGTGAATTTCTGTTGTACGTCTTGAAGCTGGCATACAGTGCTGCAACTGAGTGTCAATGGTAGAGGAAGTGAATGTTTACAGATGTGCCAGTTAAGCATGCTGCTTTGTCCTGGATGGTGCCGAACTCCTTGAGTGTTGTTGGAGTTGCACTCATCCAGGCGAGTGGGAAGTATTCCATTACACTCCTGACTTTTATTTTTGTGGTGCAATTATTGGTCTTTGATGTTCAAGACAGATCTCCCCAATGTGTTGCTCGAAATGGGTCAATGGAGATATGAATTTGGGAGGATTGGTTGAACAATGTGATGTCTGAACTGTACCGTGATCCTACTTTGCAGATCAGGAAACTGAAAGGCTGGATTTTCCAGCAGGCCAAGCAGCATCATAGGAGCAGAGAGGCTGACGTTTCGGG